TAAAGCCTATGGGCTAACTTTACTTCGAGTTCGAGCAAATCTTCACCTGGCTATAAGGCCTAAGGGCTATTTTCATTTCGAGTTCCAGCATGCACTCGCTCAACTATCAAACCCAAGGGCTACCTTACCCCATCGACTGTTGAGCCTAAGAGCTACTTAAGTTCAAGTTCGAAAGGACACCCGAGGACCATTGATCAGAAACGTTCGAGGACAGAACTTATTGCCGGTCATTACCATCTCAAACTTTGGACATTCAAATGGATTTTTATGCTAAGGCGCTTAGACCCGCTCAAAAGGGTAACAGATTCGGAAGCCATGGATGGAAAAGGGGGCTTTGTATAAACCTCTTTACAAGAAGTTATAGGTTACGATCGAGAGTTCCTCGTAAGGGTCGATCAACCTCAAAAGTAAAAAATTACTAAGAGCACGAAACCTAAGTAGCATGGTCCTTATTGGCAGAAGTGTCTCCGCCCTCAGAGTCTTCCTCGCCGTCGGACTCGCTAAAGGTTCTCGAAGTTGTCCTTGGGAAAAGCTAGCTTCCAAACTCTCGAATCCTCAATCGTTTGTGTCACGATGATGATGTCGTGGCAAATCGGGGTAAAAATCAAGGAATCAATTCGTTTCTTGTCGTTATACTCTAAAAAATACGGGGACTATCTGTATACGGTAGAAATCGGGGCTACCCGATTTATAGGCTCGAAAGCGAGGTTGAGTTCGAGCCCGATGGACCAGACTCGAGCTCGAAGACAGAATGCGATGCCCGGAGATAGGAGTACGAGGAATATCGAAGCCAAGTATCCTCGACCCCGAAATAGTACCGTTGCGGATTTGTAACAGAATGAGCTAGATTCCTGCCACGTCCCCAAGATCATGGCGCAAATCTCGGAATAGGATTGTACGATTCCGTACTAGGCGGTTAGACAGCTGTAACAAGAATATTCCTTACTGTAAATAAAAATATACCTTATATATTTAGGGTTGCCCTATTATATAAAGGGGACCCCAATCATTTTGTAAGATGATCTAATCATTGAAGAAAGAATATACTCTGTACTTTTTGCCTACTGTTCATCAGAATCATCCTTTAGCTCTACTGTTCTTACTTTATTTTCCTTACTTAATGGTTCTTAGTGTTCTAAGCCCACCTCGAGGTCACTAAGCTCGATGTCACCGTTGCTGAGTAACATTGGTTTGATTCGCTTGTCTCTTTCATTTCTACTTCATATTTCTTGATTATTAATTGGTATTGAACTAAATCACATATCTTTAAAATTACAAATCAAATTTAATTGTTACTCGTATTTTCAAGGTAAACAAAAATAATGAAATATTTTCTAATTCATACTAATACTTTTTATTGAGTCAATTATTTCACTAATACTCAAGAGTGTGACTACATCTAAATGAGAACATCTGCCATTCTTGGTGCGACTGCATTCATTCTTCTAAGAGAGGCACTAGTGGCTGAACGTTGTCTGCCATTTGGCCTAGTGTACTGAACCCCATCAACTTCAGATTCTATATAGTAAGTTACTTTAGGTAATAACGTTCAACAAAAGCACAGAGTACAGAGAGCAAAAGGACAAACATGTTTCTGGTGTTGCATTATAATTTACAAGCTGAAGATCTTGACAACGTAAGATTAGAACAACCTAATCATGACTTAATAGCTCCTGTGGTTACAGAACCCTGTACTCTGCCTGATCATTGTATAAAACGAAGACAGTTTCTTGTTAGAACAGCAGTGATTACCATTGGATTCAGATAGAAATATTTGGTAACTAAAAGTTATAATTTGAAATTACCTGAACATTTGCAAGTGAAAAACTTGTTACCTTGTCTTCAAAGTGGAAGATAAAGTTAAAAAAAAGATTGTACAATGAAGTCCAACAACATAATAGGCACCCAGATTGACCACACACTACATGTCGCCACACGCTATAAGTCATTATACGCTACAGAGGCAGAGTTGCTCGCCTATCACTACAGGGTAAAATAGCGATGAAAGCTTGCATAGCCTCGCCTCACGCTATTAGCGCTGAGGCGAACACTATTTACAAGCCTGTGACTTTGTTTCCTCTTTAATTACAACAGATATCTCTTTGCCCTATCTAATTAACAACATCAATTAATCATTTTTCTTAATTACATTTAAAATACTTGGAGTCTACCATGGGTTGTTACGGTGTGTGTTGTTATCCATACACTTTCTTTTGCTTTTCAAGTATTACGTTGTAATAGCTTTAAAATTCACATATACAAACGATTACCTAGCTAAACAAGTGAAATATTACTATTTGAAATTACCACATAGTTCATCTCTTAACTTAGAAAATAGTTGATTGATTTCCTAATATATACTCTGATTTTTTATAGCTTTTCCTTTGTGCTTAGCCACTTGAAAAACTTTTCACATTTTATATCTCTTGTCAAATATTATATTTTAGTTTGATGTTTCAAAATAATAAGAGGTCATTTATTACGTTTTTCAATTTATTTAATTGCTTGAAATATTAACTAACTGACATGTTTAAGAGAGATAAAAGATAGTTTAAATAAATATTCTTTTGATCAAAACCATTGATGGAACAACAATCAATTGAAACAGTTTTCCACAATCAGTCGATACGATATTAGAGAATAATAGAAGTTAGCCAAGCAACAATATGTCAAGGACGATAGAATAAAACGTAATGGAGAAAACAATATTTGATTTAGGGATATCTTTGTTTAGAATTTTATTTGCAAATCAAAAATAACTATTTCTCAATTGCGTTCTTAATACTGACTAAATATTACAACAACGATCCAAAAACCTGCCATATCAAACGATTTTGGGGCATTTGTATCTATACTCGCTTTTTGGGTCACATTTTAACTTGTGTCCGCTTTGCAAAAAAATTGCAAGCGTAAAAAAAATTGCAAGCATACTCACTTTTTCGCGTAACTTCAGCATACGGGGCTGAAGTAGCAAAAGCAATCACGCAAAAACTTCAACATTCTAGTAGATAGGCCTGAAGTAGCAAGTGTGCTGAAGTTTTTGTTTGTAATTGATGAACTTAAGCATAGTAGTTGAAGTTTTATTCTCTATTTGCTGAAGTTTTTGTTTGTAATTGCTGAACTTAAGCATAGTAGTTGAATTTGCTGAAGTTTTTGTTTGTAATTGCACTAAATAAGCTGAAGTTTTTTGTCCTGAATTCATTAGTTTTGTCATTAAGCTTTTTCAAAAATTTCAGCAGAAGATGTTGAAGTTATTTAGTTCATTTATAAAAACTTCAGCACTAAATGAGCTGAAGTTTTTTTTTTGTCCTGGATAAGCTTTGTCAAAAACTTCCGCAGAATATGCTGAAGTTATTTAGTTCATTTGTAAAAACTTCAGCACTAAAAGCTGAAATTTTTTTGTCTTGAATTCATTAATTTTGTCATAAAGCTTTTTCAAAAACTTCAGCAGAATATACTGAAGTTATTTAGTTCATTTGTAAAAACTTTAGCACTATATAAGATGAAGTTTTTGAAAAAGCTTTCTAACGTACTAGATAAATAATCAGATTGCCAATAGTATCTAAATTATAAATTTTGAAAACAATAAACGTGAAAAGAACAGAATTATCATTGTCTACTAACTTACGTACGTGGAAATATTCACAAATTATTGTCTACTAACTTACGTAATTATTTATAATTTGTTTTGAAATAGTCTGATAAACATATTTATGGCAATCATCCCATGAACTGAAGTTTCATGGCAACACCAACAACAGCAGAAGAAAGAAGAAGAAGAAGAAGAAGAAGAAGAAGAAGAAGAAGAAGAAGAAGAAGAAGAAGAAGAAGAAGAAAGAGGATGAGGAGAAGGAGAAGGAGAAGGAGAAGGAGGGCTAAAGTTGTTTAAAAAGTGGGTGGAGAAAGGGGGCTGAAGTTGTTTAAAAAGTGGGTACAAGTTAAATTTTTTTAAAAAATGGGTATCAGTTAAATGGGGGCGACCAAATAAGGCGTCCCGTGCAATTTTTACAACGATTTTTAATAGAAATTATTGTAAGATTGGGCCATGTAATATTCAAACTACAAGCCCAAACTCCTTATTCGACGTAAAATTGCACGGGGTGCCATATTTGGACTCCCCCATTTAACCTATACCTATTTTTTAAAAAAATTTTAATTTGTACCTAGTTTTTAAACAACTTCAGCCCCTTTCTCCTCCTTCGTTTTCTTCTTCTGCTTCTTCTATTAACAATTGAAAGGCACTATAATTAATTTCGCTTTTAGTGCAACCTGAACAAAGAAATCAAACAACAAACAATAAAAGAATATAACTTTCTACCTCGACTAGGCAAGCAGACAAACAATCCGTATTTTTCTAATCTCTCGCAATACTGTTTTACATTTATGATGAACTATATGGAAACTGACCCATTACTTCTTATTTTGAATAAACTAATCCTGTCAGATTCATGCAAAGATATTGAACTGATATTAAACTTGTATTCTAGTCGCATGTAATTATTGTCTCCTTTTTCATCTTGAGTTGGCTGCTGCTTCACTTGGAAATATTGGGATTCAAGTTTTTGCTTATGGATTCAACTTCAGCTTATATAGTGCTGAAGTTTTTACAAATAAATTAAATAACTTCAGTATTTTCTGTTGAAATTTTTGAAAAAGCTTATTCAAGATAAAAAAACTTCAGCTCATTTAGTGCCGAAGTTTTTACAAATGAACTAAATAACTTCAACATCTTCTGCTGAAGTTTTTGAAAAAGCTTTATGACAAAACTAATAAATACCAGGACAAAAAAACTTCAGTTATTTTAGTGTTGAAATTTTTACAAATGAACTAAAAAACTTCATCATCTTATCCAGGACAAAAAACTTCAGCACTGCCTTTGCTACTTAAGGCCCGTCTACTAGAATGCTGAAGTTTTGCGTGATTGTCTTTACTATTTTAGCCTGTATGTTGAAGTTACGCGAAAAGGTGGGTACACTTACAAATATTTTTACAAAGCGGACACAAGTTAAAACATGACAAAAAAGCGGGTCATGATTCGACCCGTCACTTCCAACATGGGCTTCGTCTTCGCATAGTCCATTGAACCACCACCTCAAAGTTCACTATCTCACTCCGCCGCCGCCGGCGACGATCTGCTCCTTCCATCTCTTTCTCCGGAGACGGCGTCTACTTGTATGTTCACCATCTCTCTCTCTATCGGTCATTAGGGAAAATCTCTCATCGCTTTTCCAATTTTTTTTTTGTGTCTGCTTCCACTGCGTAAAGAAAGCTTTTTCTTTGTTTTTTTCCTCCCAAATGGACACTTGAGTGAATATAGGTATCTTATTAGTTATAGAAGATAATAAGTAGAGTACTGTTTATTAGAAGTAGACTCTATGTTGAGTTTGTTTTAGTACATTGGCTTTAATAAAATAATTTATCTTTAATTTACCGAGATTATTGATTTGTTAGAGAGAAGAATCTAATTTTGGTTTGTTGTCAGAACATAGATGGACTGCAGAATTCTATCATTGAATAAGTCTTGTAGCTTGGCTAGTAATCTTCGGGCCAGTCCTACACGCAATACTGTATTTTATCGGAAATGTTCTTATCTGCCTGCAGGTATTACTTTCAGTAGTTCCTTCTTTTGCAGTAAGTTAATAGACTAATGAAATTGTTATTTAGCATTTTTACTCATGAAATTTTTCCGTCAATTGTTTGTAGTTGTTCTTATTGGTGAAAACCATCACAAAGTGCTATACTTTAAATTAAATCTGTCTTTGTAGAGATTGTAATGTTGGGTTAATGTGTCATGTTGTTTTTGATGGTTATTAACAGGGTTATTTCATAAGTCAGTTAGGTGCTCGATGAAGTCATATAGGTTATCAGAGCTTACGAGTTCTGAGGTTGACAACCTCAAAGCTCGTCCACGCATTGATTTCTCCTCCATTTTCAACATAGTGAGTTTATAGTACTTTTTGAACTAATTTTATATTTTCTTTTTCCTTCTAATTACTTATTTATCAGTTTAATCAAGTAGACTTATTTTGAATGTTGAATGAATCGCATTAGGTTCAACCCATTGTTGATGATGTTCGTAATAGAGGTGATGCTGCAGTTAAAAAGTTAGTGCCTGTTTGATATTATGCCTTAGTTGCAGTGTTTGTTTCATCAACAATTCTTAACCTGTATCTGTTATATGAAAATCCCCTTATTTTCCACCTCCCTTACCATAAGAATGCAGAACATGTATTTACCTTTAACGTTTTAAGGGGGAAAAAAAGAATGCAGAACATGTGTTATTGATCCACATCAAAGGCCAAATATATACTCCAAATGGAGGTGCTAGACTGTATAATATTAATGAATAGTGTAAAGGACATCTCTCCTAGCATATTATATTGTAGAAAATTATGTTAGGTTCTCATTCCTCTTGCATGGACCAAAAAGATCTAAATATTAATTGACATTAAGATGAGCTTTATCACATATTCACACTCCACATTTCAATCTCTGATCCAATGCTCTTAAAAGCGAAAAGCGAAAAGAAGCGACAAGGTTCCGTATAGCAGATCCAACTTGGTGACCTTTGTGTCTTTGCAACTATAAACCTAAACGTAAAATATGTTCTATTGTGCCTATTATCAGATTCTCTCTCTCCCTCTCTCTTTTTAATTCGCTTTGGAAACATTGTACCAACATTTCAAACTACTTCCTGTTTGTATCGACTTTTTAGATATACTTTTATTAATTAAAGCTAATAATTCAGTTTCAACCAAAGCTGAAGGTTTGCTACCGTGTTTTTGCAGCTTGTTTTTACTCTTTTTGTAATTGATTCTTATCAACTTTAGTTGCCAGTTTTTTAATTTGCTGGACAAACTAAGTTCAAACTTTCAAACCTTCAGAATATCCCTAAGTTTAGATTAAATAGTTATTGAACTTACAAAAAAATTCAGTATTTTTGCTCCTTGTCGGCTTGTCCATCACATATCATTCTTTAAGAGTTAATAGTTCCGTTTGAAAGTAAAAGATGCCACGATAGAAAAGTTAACATGTCTTTTTGTCTTGATATTACTTTGGTATGATGTCTATAACTTCCTGGGCAGTTACACTTCGCGGTTCGACAAAGTTGTACTGGATAAGATAGTTGAAGATGTCAATGAGCTTCCAGATCCTGAGGTATGTATTTAAATACACATTTTCTTATTGATGGGCGGGATGGGGATTAAAGAGAGTATGACATTTTAGAGTTTGAATTGTGCTTAGGATTTTTTTGTTCCCTTTCCTATTCCTTTTTCTTTAATTTTTGTCTTGAAGAACAATTGACTTCAGTTTGTCTTATTTCCAATCTAACTGCTTCTTCCTTTGACTCAGCTTGATTCAGCTGTTCGCGAAGCATTTGATGTGGCATATAACAACATATATGCCTTTCATGCTGCTCAAAAGCCTGTTGAGAAAGTTGTGGAGAACATGCATGTAGGTTATGGTTATTGTATAGGATTGATCTCAGTTGTGTGGGCTTGTTTAGCAGCATTGTGTTGGCACTCTTACTTCTCCTTTAACTTCCATATTTCCTACTCAGGGTGTCAGATGTAAACGTGTGGCTAGGAGCATTGCCTCTGTAGGGCTTTATGTTCCTGGTGGAACTGCTATTTTACCTTCTACCGCTCTGATGCTTTCAGTTGTACGGTGATTCAATTTTCCAAGTTAATTTCATGCTCTCGTTAATCATTTCTTTCAATGCTAATTCCCTGAGTACAAAATCTTCGATTTTTCTCTTTGGCCAGCCAGCACAAATTGCTGGGTGTAAAACTGTTGTACTTGCAACTCCACCTTCTCGGGATGGCAGCATTTGCAAGGTATTTGTTTACCATCTTACTTTGTTGGTATAAGTTTTAAGTATCAATGGCCATTTATTTGGATGCATTTCTTGTAGGAAGTGCTTTATTGTGCCAAGAAAGCAGGTGTGACCCACATCCTTAAAGCTGGAGGTGCTCAGGTATAAGATGATATGCTTCCGTGGTCTTGCGTTCATGAGCGGACATTGCATCTGACTCATTTCACTTAATTTCTTACTTCTTTTTCCGAACTTAAACTTTTTACTTCACAGTCCATTTACTGCAACTTTTTAAAATCCACAGGCAATTTCTGCTATGGCCTGGGGCACTGAATCCTGCCCAAAGGTACAGCTTTCACCTTAAAAGTTGAAGCCTGGCATATTGTATCATACAAGCACTAGTATACTTCTATTGCTTTGCTGAGTTTACGCACGCAACACAGAATAAATGTTATTAACATGAGTACTTTCAGGCAATTAATCCTGGCTTAAGTAGACGTGCATGTATTAGTTATAGAGTACTCTTGCAGTGGCACACGAATAGTGAACCTTCATATAGATGATCCTAATTAGTTTAGGATTGAGGCATAGTTGTTTTATTTATGCAAAAAGTATAACTTTAATAATTGGACAAGGGTTGACGGAACAGAAACTATGCATCCCTTTCATCCGTTCATTTTTCCTGTAAAACATGATGTCTTTGCTATTGCTTCAAATAGGGAAGGTGAAGTCTAGGCAGGAACAGTAATCGAAGCACGTGCATTGATTAAATAAGCATGTGCTGATTTGATATTACTAAAGGAACCAATCTCGCTTCAGGCCTTTGGTGTAAGGCCACAACCGTGAAGTGTGGGTTAGGTGCACGCCACGGATTCGAACCATGTTATTGACTGATGTCTGGTATTTCGGTAGAGGCAGGGTGTATGAATGAGTCCATACTTCCCTTATTTTCGAACCTGTGAGCCCAATTGGATGGGTTAGATAACTCACTGGAGATTTCTCGGTTAGGAAGCCCAAATAGGACTGAGAATAGAAAGAGGGCAAAGATTTTGTATAGAAAAGATAACATGAACTTAGTTTCTTAATTATTTTTTTAAAAGAATTTTTGTGATACTTGACTGAAAAAATATATTTTTATTATGATTGCAATCACTAATCAGAATATATATCTAGTAAGATTCCCCTGTATACAGTGAATGTTGATCCTTATTGGTTCATTGTCTATATTTCTTACAAAGGAAAGTAATTATGGCATGTTTTAGCAGACACATTGTATCTGTTCCTTGTACATCTGTAAGGCTACTACCCTGGTTGTCCTTGAAACCTGTGGTTAACTTGTAGATATCTTAATGAAGTGGGTTTCCTTTCATATTGGCTTTTGGATTTTTGTTTTCCTAAACATGGCATGCATTTACAGTCAAACTCTTTTTTTCTTTCATTGATAATGTATAAAGGAGAAGCATTATGTACGTTACCATCTATGCCAGGTTGAGAAGATATATGGGCCTGGGAATCAGTATGTCACCGCTGCAAAAATGATTCTGCAGGTATTGGTTTCAAGAGGTAATCTTAGGTTAGGGATATTAGCAATGTAAATAAATTTCACTTGAAACATATATGCTGCCAAAAGACTATTTTCCTCACCTCTAGTTGTCTTTTGCTAAGTAGTATTCTCTCTCAACAGAACAGTGAAGCTATGGTTTCAATCGACATGCCGGCTGGGCCTTCAGAAGTCCTTGTTATAGCTGACAAGCATTCCAGTCCTATCCATGTGGCAGCAGATTTACTTTCACAGGTATTAGCTGAACTATTCACTGCTTGATTAAGTTTTCATTCCTACATTCTGTGTCTGAATCTGGTGCTCTTGTTATTTCACATTGTAGTGCGTATGTCTCTTCTGAGATCAAAATAGGAAGATTTAAGGTTTTCGGAGTGAAGGAGATTAACTGTTAACACAAGCTGAACTGAAACTTTCAATAATTCCTATCGTTCATTGAGGCAAAAGCTTATCACCTCAAATGCAATTTTCAGGCAGAGCATGGGCCAGATAGCCAAGTCGTACTGGTTATTGCTGGGGATGGTGTTGATCTAAATGCTATTCAAGAGGAAATAAGAAAGCAGTGCCAAGCCCTTCCAAGGGAAGAATTTGCACTTCAGGCACTCAACCACAGCTTCACTGTGTTCGCACGGGATATGCTCGAGGTATGTTTGTCGATCTTGGCTGGCAGCAATTTGCATACAGTTCTATGTATGCTTGCTGTCATTATATAATTCTGCCTGAAACATATTTAAAAAGATTGAAAAAATCATTAACGTGAACGCAATTTCCTTATAAATTTCTCTATCAGCTATAGGCTTTATCTCATGGACTTAGATCACGACCTTTTTCAGGCAATTTCCTTCTCAAACATGTATGCACCTGAGCATCTGATAATCAATGTGAATGAAGCTGAGAAGTGGGAAAGTTTAATTGAGAATGCAGGTACTTTTTTTTTTGGTCTTAAAATGCAGGTACTTTAAATCTCTGTGTTTGCTAAGTTTTACCTTACTTTTCCATTTGGCATATCTACTTTTCTGTTTGCTTGTTTTGGCAATTGGGGCTGCTGATTGTGATGTATCCATGAAATATTTTCCTCAAGCTTCTCTTGATTTTAGCAATGTTAAAGTGTGATATACAGTGGGTAATATATTCATCTTTATTCTTCTTATTTTTATATTCCTTTGAGTGAGTTTTCTGTCCTGCCCTTTGTGATCCTCCATATAACACAACTTTTCCATACAATTTAACAGCATTTTTACCAGAGATTTCTGTTTCATTTTCTATTTTCCCTTGTCTTCATCATCCAGCTGGTTAATACTTTAGTCTTGTGGTATTTTTTGTCTATTGACGTCTTTAATCTCTATGCGTAATTTTAGTGGTTTAAGGGCGTATGTGTATTGAACACGTAATTTTTTATTTTTTTTTGATGAAGTAAAGTGTTTCGTTAAAGGCATCAAGAAGATGCAGAAAAAGTACAAAGTGAAAGCCCTTGGTTAACTCCTAATATAAAAACCTATAAAGCTGGGAGTTGACCAAGACCAAGTACCAAAAGTATGACTATTAAGCCATATTAAGAGAGCTAATGAAATCTAAGAGGGGAATAACATCATTTACAGGGGAACGGTTACTCCAACTAAACAGGTTCATCAGACACTTAGATTTCAATAGGCTGGTGAAAGTTGAAATGCCATCAAAACATCTAGTGTTCCTCTCTGTCCAAATACACCAACAGATACATGCTGGGATCCTTTGCCAGGTCTTCTTGATGGTTTTGCCAACTTTCCACGAGCACCAGCCTTCAACTGCTTCCTTGATATCCTGAGGAATAGACCAACTGAGACAAAAAACTGCTAAAAACATATTCCATATATCTGTTGCCACTGGACAGTCCAAGAAGATGGTTTACTGATTCTGCATTGCTGTAGCACATGTAACATCTGTTTACTAGTTGAAAGTTTCTTCTGCATAAGTTGTCCTGGGTCAAGGTAGCATTTCTGAGAGCAATCCAAGAGAAGCACATTACTTTTGTAGGTAATTTTAACCTCCATATATGCTTCCATGGCCAATTCTCAATCATTCCATTTGATGCACACAGTTTGCTATATCCAGCCTTCACTGTATATGTACCCTTGCAAGAATTACCCCACTTTAGGCTATCTGAGATTTGAACGCGTAATGTTATTATCTCAGCTCTTGACTGTGTAAGGTTGATAGTTCTTTCCCTGTTATTCCTTCAAACTGTATGATTAGCTCTGCAAGATGTCAAATAGAAGGTTCAAGTTCGCTGGTCATTGGCAAGGTGGACAAGTTTCTTCACTAGTGATCTAGGCCATCTCCTTTTTCGGTAGGGAGTTGAATATACCGTCATTTCTGTTAGATGACGTAATTGACTAGCCTTCTGTTTTCTTCTTTGACATGGTTATTTCAGTCCGCTTGGGTTCCTAGGAGAAGCTCTTAACATATTTCACTATTGATGGTAGCTGGAACTGCTGGCTCCATTTGTAATATGGTACTTATGATAGACATGACATGTTTTTTTTACTTCTGGGCTTGAAATCTGAATTTACAATATTGTAGGTAAGGCAAAAAAAAAAAGTACTCCTTGCAATACTCAACTTCTACACACTAATAATCTATCTACATCAGAAAGCAGGCTTTTTTTATATGGCTTACAGTTAACTGAAAGTATATTTTGTGGAGGGAGCCTGGTTTTTCAGACAGACAGATCTATATTTCAATTCTTGAGAGATTGGACAATGC